AGACAAGCTTATCCGTGAAGTTGCACTAAACCCAGTCCTGTACAACATGATCTACCAGTTTGCAAAGAAGAAAGCCTGTAGCCTGTTTTAAATGATCTCCTTACACCAAATTCAGCCAATATATTATATGCTTTAAATAATCCTACCATGACCAGCTGATTTTTCTAGGATAGTTAGCGTACGCAACAGTTATACGGAGACCTGAATTTGGAAAGATACATGTCTTGCAGATATATCACCTGTGTCTCATTTGCCAGTTTGTCGAACCAAACAAGATAAAAAGGGTAAACTTGCAGGTTTTCTCATGAGAATTCCTAATTCTGTGACTGAGGTCTCCAGAGGGAAGGTTCACATTAACCCTAGTTGTGTCATATTTAATTTGGCTATTGGAAGACTCGCTTGTCTGTCTTTGTAAATACCACACCTTTTATATTCTTTTATATTTCTGACTTTCTCCATTTTTAATACTGATGTTTTGCTGTGTGGAGATTTCTTGTCATACTTGTGATTTCTTCTAAACATCCATGGCTAATCCTCCTGTATGCTGCTGCACTCCTAATCTGCAGATGCTCAGTGGATGTTGATTGTGTCCCATCATTCAGATGCTGCGTTCTTGGGGCATTACTGTTCTCATTTATAGAGGAATGCCGTGGTTCAACCCCAGTTGGCAGCTAAGCACCAGACAGGCACTTGCCCACTTCCCAACCATGTGGGATGGAGGAAAGAAGCAGAAGGGTAAAAGTACAAAAATTTATGGGTTGAGATAAAGACCTTTTTTTTCCCCCTTAAATTAAAAGAGAAAAAGAAAACAACAAAGAGGAAAAAACCCAAGACCAAGAAAAACAACTGACCTGATGCCCAGCCAGTCCCTGAGCAAGGGCAGCCCCTGCCAAACTCCCTCCTCCCCAGTTTTATTGCTGAGCACAGCATCATATGGTATGGGATATCCATCTGGGCCGTGGTCAGCTGTCCCAGCTGTGGCCCTTCCCAGTCTCTTGTGCACCCCCAGCCTGCTCACGGGGCACTAAAAAGAAGAAAAGGGCTTGGTTTACGTTTCCAGCTGCAGAATGCCTCATTCGCCCACCTCATGTTTACCCCCCTGCAGCTGTGAAGAGGCCTGCTGACAGGCTCAGCTTTGGCCAGTGGTGGGTCTGTCTTGGGGCCAGCTGGAATGGGCTCTGTCCAACATGGGAAGAGCTTTTGGTGTCTTCACAGAAGCCACCTCTGTAGTCTCCCCACTACCAAAGCCTTGTCATGTAAACCCAGTACATGACCTCAGAGAAACCCTACACAGACATATACAGCATCACACCACTTTCTTCCTCCAGGGCAGATGCCTTGAAGAATGTGCCAGGCCCTGCAACAGAGCAGCTGCTGGGACATGGGGCAAGAGATTGTCAGTTTGTCAGTGTTCCTGCTTCATGGCCTTAGCAAGGACCTTTATGGAAGGGTAGCTACTCAGCTGGTAACAGAGCATGCCTGGGCTCCTGGATATCATAACAGAAGTCCTTTCAAGCGTAACCTGATGTAAAAGATGTAATGCCCCTTCCCCTTTTAAACAGCTTGTGTTATGCAGCCATCTAGAGGGCCTGCTGCCTGTGCTGACTTCTTGTGGTTTCTGGCCAATAACATAACAGTGAGAAAATATAAGATCTGCTGACCCTTAGTGGCAGTAACTCCACTACAGTACTGGGGGAATTTTTTTATAAATTCAAGAGTGCTCTTGTTCTTGTGCTGTCATGCACTGTATTATACTTTCTTGGGGGGAAAGTATTTTAACTTGCTGAGGACAAAAACTGGGGAAGTACAATCATCAGAGAGAGGATCTAGGTAGCAGAGAGGACCTTAAGATTTTATGGCAATTCTGCAGAGCAAATGAAATCTTACATCTAGGGACTATCAAAACTGATACTGTAAACTGAAGGTGAGTCATTCTTTGGGAAAGACCAACAGAAAGATTGGAGGCATGAAGCAAAATCATGACAGACCACCACATGGCTCCAACAAACAGATATGATTCTTGGAGATCATGTCTGGTTCAGATAGGGAAAACAACACACTGTACTAGTGAGGCTTCAACTAGAATATTAGACACAGGTATGATTTTCAAGGATCAAGAAACAGGCATCTGAATATGCAAATAAGGACTCAGGATGATCAGGGGAACTGAAACCCTGTTTTATGATTAACAGGAGCTGCCACAAAGGTGATCTGGTAAACACACTGAGAAAGAATGATACCTCCTTAGCCAGAGTCCCAAGAATCCCGGATAAGCTCAGCAGAAACCTCCATAATGGGCAGTAGTTGACTGGACAGAAGAAACCCTGATGGGTGCAGGACAAAGAATATGTGATCATGAACTGACCTTCCAGGAAAACAGGAGTCAGCAACAACTATTCTGGGAACTGATGTCCTGCATCCACTCGCATATTGACACCAAAAAGGTACAATAAGTAATTCACTACCTACCCAAAATGAGCTTCTCTGCACAAGATCTCCCAGAGAGACCAGACGGCAGTCAGATTATAAACGCTACAGAAACAGAGACCAGAACAATAGTTTCTTACCCAAATGGTTCATGCTTTCAATATAAGCCACCTGACAGTAAACAGATGTTCCTTGCCACACCAGAAGACAAACAGAGCCAACCCTTCCAGGCTGGCTCCGCTACAAGGACACCGTTTCCATAGCTCTCAAAAGCACAGGCATATCCTCTAAGCTCCCAGCACACCTCAGACCACCCCAGCAGTAGCAGTGGATCTCTGCCAGTACATCGGCATCTCTGTCCTAACTGGAGTTCAGTTGACTGAAAGAGCCCATGTGCTGCAGCATCTTTATCCTGCCTTCATCTGAACTTCAGAGCTATTGTACGCTTCACAACTGTGCCTCTACATTACCTCCTTATTAAGAAACCAACAGGAGGTCACATTTCATATCCCTGTGCTGCTTCAAGCTTTTTCTTCTGACTTCTATAAAATACTATTAGGCACATCTGATGTAACAGAAAGTAGAGCTGCACAAGAGATCATCTTTTTTCTGTGTTGAAATTATACACCGGCTGCCTGTGAGAACTAGGGGAAAACTTTAAGGCTTGCTTTGTTTTTAAAAAGGCAAGTAATTTAAGAAAGTCAGTCTGTGCTGTCAGAGATGTTCCTACACCACACACATAACAAAGTACAAGAAGGACAACTTGCATCCATCTCATGAAAAAGTACTGTGGTATAAGATTTGTGATTTAGAAATCTGAGCAAAATTATCAGACCAGGTGATATGAATGTGCTAGTCACGAAAGCATGAGATGAACAATTTATTTAGGCTTCCCATCAGCTTTGGAGAAAAAAAAATCCTGTGGACTTTTCCTACAATATTGAGCCCAGGAAAAAAACATTGCACCTTGGATTTTCCAAAGCTACTGAAAACAAATTAATATAGGACTTGCTTACTCAGGTGTCCACCAGAATCTGTTTCCACTTTCATAAAGTTCTCTCTTTGTTATGGCTTCAACATAAAATTTCCAAATATAAACATAAGTAAGCAATGTGTAGACATCTATATATAATCTGAAAAGAAAGTTTTATGGTTTGAACTGTTCATTCATCCACTTTATTTATGATGTTAGCTATAAGCATCATTGGTGATTTCACCTCCTACTCAAGTGTGAAAGAAAATAAGGAAAGTGATAAAGCATGGAAATCTTCCCCCCCCCAACACTTAAAGTGAAAGTATGAAAAGCAGCCTGCAAGGCACTGGAAAAAGCACACAAGAAGATAGGTAGGTTTTTCACATTCAAGGAGCTGCTGAGCTTTCTGAAGCTGTTTCATTAGCTGTTTTCAAACCAAGACAAGGGAAACTGTGGGTCTTCAGGAGTTCCCAACACAAATGAGCAAACTTTCTGTGATTTGGAAATCTGTTTCACAGGTGATCTGTTTCAACAGAGTCTGCTGCTGAAAAGCTTACTCTTTATGGAGGAAAAGACAACAAAAATCCAGTCCATCAGCTACATGCTAAAATTATGAACATTCTCCAAATGTAACGACCTGTTTGGCTCTCAGTTTGAATGGATGAATCTGATGTCAGACAAAAAACCCCAACTGTAAAGTAGAAAAATTTTAGTTTCTAAATTGGGAAGGAAGGTTTGTCTTAAAAGCTGGTATCTAGGACACTGTCAAATTCCCAATGCTACACTCAAAACAGTCATCTTCACATTCCTACAGAAGTATTATCAAAATTAAGTAGAAGATAGTTTTATACAGCAGAACAGTTCTAAGAATTTATTCTAGAGAATAATTCTCTAAGGACTAGACAGAAATTGAATAAATCAGCAGGAAGGAAGAAAAATTCAGAAACAGTTATACTTTTACTGGTCATAACATGCATGAATGAAAACACCTTTTCTGTAGTTTTCTTCAACACACCTCACTGAGGGAAAAATATTTCAGAAGGAAATAGATATCAGAGTCTGATAGAGAATACTTTTTTCTTCTAGAAACTGTGCTAAAGCCTGAGAGCCTACAAGCCATTAGTGTGTATTTATGCTAAAAACTGAAAGAGCCAACCATGCCTCTGAAAAATGAAAACCCTTATTTTCCTACAAATCTACTTGCCATCTGCTGTTAACGTAGAGAAGTGGCAAGCAATCTGCACTCCTCAAACAGCCCCTTCACCTAGTACACGAATATCCTACAAGGCCACAGACCTTTGAAAGGATTTTGTATAGGCATAAGAAATCATACCCAAGTAATTTTTTGTTGTTGTTAAACAGAAGTTTGGAAATCCCATCTCCTCTCTTCCTGCATCATGACTTGAAGTGCTTCATTGTAACTACTACTTCCACATGCACCCAATTCACGTATCTTGCTCATTTAAGTCTTCCTTTGGGCATACTGCAAGGATAAAGTATTCTCTATAATTATTATATCTGCATTAAACTGGAGAAAGTAATATTCAAGATAGACCCTTTTTCTTGCTACTAAAAATTTTAAAAGATGAAACAAAAAACAATACATTAAATTTTTTATTTTAAATGGTATTCTGAAACTCGTGGTTATATACAAATTTTCAAACTATGAAGCTTAAGATTGCATGGTGACTGTCTTCATGAAATAAGGCTGGTCGGTCAATCTTATCAGAGCTGATTCCATTGCAGTAGGATTATTCCATGTACAGGATGGCTGCAGAAGGTTGTAATCCATGAAGGCACCAACACCGAAGGAGGTAGGCCTTCCTACATAAAAAGCTAATCAAGAGCCCCCTCAGTTACCATGTGACATTTGTTGAATTTGAGAGCATCACCAGCGGGGAAAGATCTGAGTGAAACCAACAGTCACTGTGGAAAAACCTTTACACTGCACTCAAAATCTGGAGACAGTTACCCACTGCAGAGGCTTTTCCATGCCAGTCATACTCACTGTGCTTTATTCCTCACTCAACTGGGCCAGTTAGGGAAAAAGGAAAAAAAAAAAAAACAACAATCCAAACCAGATTATGCTGCTATGATAATCTGGCAATGATCTTCAGAAATAGATTTTTTTGTTTTAGGGATAATTAATAGGCATGAACAGGATTTATGTTAATGCTGAAACTTCAGTTTAGATACTAGATGCAAGGATGGGATGAAACTTATTGACCCTCAGCCAATAGGCAGAAAATTTTCATTTCTCTGAACTGACATGGAAGGCAGATGAACTACTGCCTCCTCTCATGTTCCCCAATGCTAAAGGTAGAGATATGCTTCATGAGTTTGTTTTACACACAGACAATTAAAAATACATCTTAGTAGTCTCCTCACCAATAGCACAGTACTGAAATCAGTGCAACAAAATTAAAATGGCAGGAAGGAATATTTACAACCATATTGTATTGTACCGAAATTGCAAGATCAGAAATTTCTAAAGTGCAAAGGTGGCTATACTCTACAGAGATACAGGGATCTGTTTTCTTGCTTACAGTATAAACCACTACCATCATTACAGACACACTACATATCCATGCTGAACATTTAATTGACCAAGCGTTATCCTTAGGCTGACAAGAAAAACTCCTCTACCAAATCCAGTCAGAGGCAGACATCAGCATCCAAGGGCCAAATTTAGTCCCTTGGTTGTAGGAGTGTCACATGCTGGATGGAGATTAACTACTGTAAACCCAGGAACATGAAACATGGAGGAAGGTATTTAAACAGAAATATTACAAAGAGCTTAATGGTTTGTTTTATAGTAGATTAAAGACAATCACTGCATTTTAAAAACATAAAATAGAGGGCCCAGCACTCCATATTTTATTTAGCTGCAGTTTTGTCCTGGTTCAGACTGGGCACAAATTTTTGAAGACTATTTACACCAACAAGATTTGCAGGTTTAGCCATGAGAGCCTCTAAAACCAGAGAGACAACACAAAACCAGGCTCTTGCAGCATTAGAGTATTAAAAAGTCACCATTCAAAATACCTCATTATTAAAATTTACACATGGAAATTGTAATAGAAGGAACATGGCTGCTAGGTTTCCAGATTAACTGAAACTCCCAGTCAATTCACCCATATTCTTAAGCATACTGGACAGTTAATCAACTTACTATTTACAATAATTCTTGCTACTACCCAACAAAAATCAAAAGAGTTTTAAAACCGCTCATTGACTCACAGCTCGTATACTTTGCAAACTAAACAGTCTCTAGTTTCTTATTTTTGGGCAGAACTATGCAATGTTTGCCACAGGATTTAAACTACAAGTAAATAATGTTTGTCTTGAAAAGCAACACGTGTTAAGTGAATTAGTTTGTTCCATTAGTCTATTTTTAAACTACTACATCATATTTACTGAAACAGCTATGGCATAAGAGGTTACACAGCTAGGCTTAAGTAATGCCATAATCTGAGACAATCCACTTGGTTATGCCCCAAACTATTTACAGTGAACTTGATTCAAACAAACCACTCGGTTCAAGAAAGCGTCCAAAGAATTGCAAGTCCATAAAATAATCTTTCCTAAGAAGTTTTTTGGGAATGATTTAGTCATGATCTGTTCATCTGATTTTAAGATATTCATATCTTGAAATACACCCATGGGCAAAAGCCTCATTGGAAATGAGTCCCAGGACCCACACATGCATTATCAAACAAGGGCAAGTCTGTGCCACAGTGCGTAGCAGACAAAGGAGAAAATGAGGGGACGAGGGAAAATGGAATGTAGTCTGCATAGAAAGAAAATTAATTAGGTTGAGATGTGCACATATTAACACACAGGCATCTGAAAAACAATGAGTAACTAAAAATTCATGATTATGAAACTGAGTTAACTGCATCTTGATCCTTAAAGGGGGCAAGCAGATGACTACAGCTGTAGTAAGTTTTTACAATTAAAACCCGTATAAGTAAAGTAGCTTCATGCTCCATTCTGGCAAAATCTAAACTGGTCTTTTAACAATGAAAGAAGTCTAAAAATTCAGCTGATCAAGTTACGAACAGATCTCAGTAACGTCAAAAAACACACCAAAGGCTCTTGTGCAGCATCAGAAGAAATGGACTAAATGTAGATATAAATTCTTCTTGATATTCATTATCCTCTACCCACCTAAGCCCTTGCAGAACAGTAACTTCTTCCAAAGCAATTCAGCTGATTTCACACTTATTTTTGTGTGCAGAACTGACTGAAATAAAAATCTATCACTGGAAGCAATGAGTTCTGCATTTGATTCACCCATGACAGCCAGCATTAAGACCCTCTTGCCTTTTGCAGCAATGAATTCTGTAGTTTGGCCAGTACCTCAGGAAAAGTCTTGAGTTTCCTATTAATCTCCTCAACAGCTTTTGTTCCACAGGTCTTCAAGGAGCTAGACACCTGCCCTTTTAGCTAAGTTACTCAAAGTCCCATGAAAGATTTCAAACAGAAGCACTGAATTACATGGAAGATGAACTGATCCAAACAATACAAAGTGAAGAATGTGTTTACAGTATACATCATGGTAAGTGCATATGCTATCGTGTTTTTTTGAAATGGGAACATTTTCAGATTCTTCAGTTTCTTTCTCAGGTAAAGGGAAGTGCAGCAACTTATCCCCAGAGACTGCAAGGCCCTCACTTCAACACATCCATTATATTCTTTTGCATTTGCAGCAAATCGTAAAGCTATGTTGTTGTTGTTGACATGGGTGTTTTGAAGTGCTTAGCGCTAAAGAACATTATCATGTTTTCCACAGTAGGCAGAAATGGAAGAAGCAAGTTCTACAAAATACTTTCTCAGTTTTCACTAGGCTTGGGTTTTGGAAAGTTCTCTTCCTAAGGAGCTGATTTCAGTGCAATACTGCAGAAGCTGAGAAACGGCACTGCCTACATACAGCATAAAGGAAATGTAGAGCTTGGTTTCCCATCAGCTCTGCAGCTCACCTTTCCTCCCTGTTGTCTTAATAGCTTCTTACAGACACTACCCAGATGGAAAGACAGGATCTTAATTACAATTCCATTACCTTATGCATGACAACTTCATAAAATTCTAGTGCCAGGAGATTTTAATTGTCTGTAGTTTTCAAGCTTATCAAATCTTTCAAGATTCAAAAACCTTGAATGAATGACACCGTGATGCATTACTTTTAAGCACTTTCATACTACTTGCTGCATCACTTTCACATACACCTTTGATATTAAAGGATTTTAATTTAAGGACAGACAAGCTAAAGTACTCTACTACAAATTCAGATACAAGAATCCTATAGAGGAAAGAACAGAGGCTAATCCTTTCAGAAGAATATAAATTGTGCTCCAGTTATGCAGAACTTAAGGTTTTCCAAGTTCCGTGAAAGTCCCATGAAATACTATCGGGGTGTTACAAACCAAACTCAGATTTTCTTCACTCACTACAATTAAGTGAATCAGAACACAACAGGGTGTTAAGTCTGAATGACAAAACCTGAATAAATATAACTTTTCATGCAAACTTTTGTTTGCAGAATTAGACATTATGTAGCAGATAATTTAATGGAAAAATCCTTAAGTGTTACAATCATGATACATCCTTTGCTATTTGTGGATAGAAACTAAACCCACAAAAAGTGGCTCTCTAGAGGCACAATAGGAACATTTAAACCCACTCATTCTATGATATCGCACTAAAACCAAAAATAAGTCAGATATAAATAAACTCTTAGAAATCCACCACATTCTCAAGCGAGATAGATGCATACTAACAAAAGTAAATTAAATTAGTCTTCTAAATTAAAAAAGAAAAATCAGAAAGACGGAGATTAGAACTAAAGCCCCAGAGTCCAATTAATAGAGTTTCAAAGTGAATTCAAAGCACTTATGGCTCTTAAGAAATCTGGCATCCACTGTCTTTTTGAGGCTTTATATCTGGTTCCTTCAGAGGTTTTACTTCTTCATCTGGTTTTGGTTTAGCCTGCAAACAAGAAGAAAAAAATCTAAATACCACAAATACAAACCACTGTGTCTGTACAGTATTTATGCATGGCTAACTTTACATATTCTAATCTAATAGTCCCCTCTCTTTTCAGGGCTGAAGGCTTTGTACAAGCCTCAAGCAAGGGGGAAAAGCCAAATATTCTCTATTTCAGCATCCTTAAATGAATCCTTTTCTAAAAAAGAAACTTTCTATAGCATTCACTCCTGTGACATTTCAGCATCTTATAGATGCTGAATTAAAGAATTACATAATTTCCTCCTATTCAGGACTTTGGAAAAAAAAGGACTCCTAATTTCCAGAGGCAGACAGTGTGGCAGAGAGGTTAACTGACTTGCCTCCTGACACAGTGGAAATGTGAGCTCAGGCGGTAGCCTTGTGCCTGTACCCTGCACTGAGCTAGGGAACATTACAGAAGAGCAAAATTGTAACTCTGTGCTATACACAGAGTAAAGCTAATGTGAAAGAACAGTACATAAGATTATCTTACAGTGTCATCCTTTGGCTTCTTGGTGAGATCAAATGCAGCAAGTGTTTCAGGAGTCCAGTGTGCGTTCAAGGCAGGAAATTCAAAAGGAACAGGCTCTACTAAGCCATAGTTTGCTTTCAGTTCCAGCTGGGGAGCCTCTGCTGGCACCTTTTGAAAATAGCTGTAAAAGAATAAAGCAATGTATTTAAAACACAATGCACTATCTCTGCAAGTCTCATTTGCAATTCTAAAGAAAAACAATCTAGGTTTTTACAATGGCAGTCACCGCTGCTCTCTTCTGTCCAACCTGCATTCTGCTAGCAAGATTCACAAGAACAAAAGAAATTCCTTCTTGGTTCATCTCCTAATAGCTAGGTGGGTTTTCTTCCTACTTGATAACCATTATTCCCAGCTTCAATGCAAAGAGCACCTTTTTTTCCAAAAAGGCCTTCAAAATTCAAAGGAGAATTTAAAATACTTCCCAAGAAATATGAAGGGACAGTTCTTTTCCTAAAGCAGTCTTAATGTGCCACAGCACATAATAGCAATGACACTGCAACACCCACAAAGAGTCGCTATGACACAAAGCCTGAATGGGATTATAAATCTACCCTCAGCAAACCAACAAGAGCTAAAAACTAACAAATACTGACACATGTTATCTTACTTCCTGTGCTGTGGCCGAGCTCTGTGGCAGACACATCACCCTAAACAGTGACTGGTTATCAAGTTTCTCTAAGTTTGTTTCTAGAGGGACATGGATTTCTTGGTATCTCCTGTATGCTGCTGTTGGAAGTGATGACAAGAGTTATTGGAACTAAAGCAGAGAATTTTTTTTCCTGTTTGCAGTTCAGCTTGATGTACTTGACAATCGTTTTTGTTTAGTCAATTCCCCTATTACACAGGTCTTTAAATACCATAAAAAGGGAAATATCAAACCTATTGCAGAATACTAAATCATAAGAGGAAGGGAGGGGAGAAAGTAGTGAGTGAAAGAATTCCAAAGCCAAACTAATCTTGTTATTTTAAACGGCTTTCAAACTCTTTTTGGAATGGGCATCAACTAACAGAAAGCCCTGTTCACAATAGTAATTATACTTAGCCTGGTAAAGCTCCTAGCACCCTAAGCATATTCTTCACTGAAGGCATGACTGTGTTTTGACTTTCCAGCTAGCAAAGCAGAATCAGCTACCAGTATTCTATATTTCCCTTCTGTCATTTGTTGCTTACTAGACCCCAGCAGCTGGGAAGAAGGCATTAGAGCAACACAGCAATCTCTGCAGAACTTTCTCTTGTGCAGAAGGAAAGAAAGTAGCTGAAGATTGAAGGAAGAAAACTGCTCAACCTTTACAGCATGTCAGTCCAACCTACCCTGCTGAATCGGCACAGAACACAGAGAGGGTGACAGCAGAGACCCAGAGCAAATCCGCTATGAGAAAATTACAGAGCTGCAAATCTTTAAAGTTATGTGCCATGCCCTAAAGGAATGTAAGAACTGGACAGTAAAAATTACCATCCCATCTTGAAATAAAGGCAAATGAGGTAATAACAGTTCATATACATTACTGTACCAACCACGAATTACTCACATGAATCCGTTCTCTCTCTGGCATTTTTCTAATGTGTTCTTAATCAAACTTCCTAATTTCCTAAAGAAGAGATGTCCAGAAGGTTTGGCAGTAGTCCCAGGTCCTTTGGTTTCTCCATATTCTTTGCACAATGCTTCAGCCTTGGCAAAAACTTTCCAAGAAAGAAATGTAATAAAAATCATTTACATGACTTAAATCATGGTTCAGATTTACAATGCTTCAGTTTTAGGAGATAGCAGAATCCATTCAGGCTTCTTGCTTCTTAGAAACAAAAATAAACTAGCTCAAAGGCAGCACTTACAGCCAAGATTTACTGCATCCAAAAAGTGATGAGAAACACCCCCCCAAAAAAAAAAAAAAAAAAAAAAAAAAAAAAAAAAAAAAAAAAAAGATAACTCTTTGGGTAGGAAGATGCAGGAAAGCCTTCTTATGTGTGGGTCAAAATGCAACAATAAGCCCAAGAACTGTGCCACATGATAGGAAAAAAGAGAGGGTATGAAGGTGTAAATACATATTTGATGCCCAAAAATAAACAGCATTTAATAGAGAGGGAAAAGAAGAACTCTTCTCTGAAGAGCAGGCACAGTAAAACACACAGTATTTGTTTTACTGCAAGTAACCCAACTTAGTTTATTGTTAATGAATTCTTTTTATTTATTTAAAAAATTAATATTAAAAGTTTCCAACTTGACGATTTGAGCATTTTTAATACATTTTAGTAAAGTTACGCATTGCTTTGAAGAGAGAAGGATGGCCAGAAGTCCCTGAACTAATGCAAACTTCCCTTAACCTGCCTTTCAAATGAAGATAAAGGAAATAAGTTACTAAAAGCTGTTTAAAAACAAACAAACAAACATGGTCTAGATTTACTATTTAATGCAACTTCCAAAGCAGAAAAGGCTACTGGATCTTAACATAAAAACCAGAAAAAGTGATGACCAGACAACTGATTTTTACACTGTATTGCAGGCAGTTCAAAGTCAGTCTTTAACGAGGTGAGAAGTGAAGATGAAATTTTCTGCAACACTTATGAAAGACAGTCTTTGGAAAGACAAAAAAGGAATATACTGTCTCTATTCAAAAGTATGCTGGATTTTCATCAGCTGACAGATAAAATCTTAAATTTATGGGAGACCAAATAAACACGATACAGCAAAACAAACCAGGCATGTCATCGTCAGACATTGTAATCCAGTCTCAGTCACGCTTACATTTTTCTGATTCCTGCAGAGATCTGATTGCTTCCCCACATTTATCACTCGCCAGTAAAGTTTGACCATGGTAACAGTATGCCTAATGGGAGAGGACAAAATCATTACCAACATCACTGGGCAATTCCTGTACCAATTCACTTCTGCTCCTCCTTATGTCAGAGTTGCATCTCCATGAAGGTGCCATTCCCTGCAGAGAGCTGACCATTTGGGAATGCAAATCAAAGCAGCATTTGGTGAACAATGCAGTTCAACATAAACACCGTGAGATAGGTATGAAGCAAGCTGTCAAGTCTAGCCAAGAGTAACTTTGAACTTCAGGAAGGATGTTTTACCAAAAGCACTAGTATAGAGTCTAGGTCAAAGCTTTCTCTCTCACTCTAACAATGTGCAGCATTAAGGCACATCACAGAAAAAGGAGGAACCCCAGTCAAGTTTACAAAGCAAAGACTAAAAACTAAAACTACCTGAACACTCAAAAACCGAATCTGGAACAAACATGACTGAATCCAGAAGAGATGAGGTCTTCTGCTGCTTGAAATATTTTGTCATAGTCCAAATAACTTTTCCACCCCAAAAAGTCTCATTCCTTCACACTTACGCTTGAAGATAGTACTGTATTCCTGTACTGAATAGAACTGAATAGAACTGTACTGATAGTACTGAATTGCTTCTTTTCTATTATCAGTTGTTGATTTTAAATACTAAATACCATAGGTAAAGGAATGATTGCATGAACTAATGCTGACCTTGCACACCTTCCTTTAATGTTTGTTCTCCACAGTATAGCAAGTGTTACCTACATGTACCATTGCCCATATTACACAAATTAAAAAAGATAAAAAGTACCACAGCTCTGACCCTCCCTCACCTCTCAAACTTGCTGATAAGGTAAGCAGCTTTTAGCTACAGGTTTGATATAAGAGAGAGACAATTGTGTTAACTGCTTAGTTTGGGCCTTTTTTACAGTATGAAAGAGCTGGATTACAGGCTGTGGCAGGCTACAAGAAATAAAACAGCAAACTGAGCAGCTGATGAGTGCCACTGTACTTGCTAAGAGATCAGTCACGCAAAAAGGGGCAGTACTTGGAATGGTACGTAACATTACTTGATGCAGTTTCAGTCAGGGCCTTCAAAAAGCTGATCAGCTCTGAATTATGCCTAGAATCAGACTGTGATGCAGGTAATGGAAGACAAGTATTATGCTCAACCTGAATTGGTTCACTCCCCCCATTCCCTATCCAGCCCTTAGACAACATTAAAAACTGTGACTGCAGTCCGCTGAGATACTTACATAAGCCATGTAGAAACAGGTCTTCAAGTTTAAATACTTCCTCCATTTACCTGCATAGGTTGGATCCAAACTGGATAATGTTTGATCTATGAACACATGTGTAAAGTTATTCTTCAAGATGTTTCCAAAACGAAAAATCACACACACAAAGACCAGAATGCTTAAAATTTAGAAATAGATCTTAACTATAAAGTAGCAAGAAACAAGTGACATAAATTACTCCTGCAAAGGCACAGAGAAACTATGAGACAAACCAAAAATATGCAGTTTATTGAGCTATCATGCAGTTGTCCCTAGAATCTCCGGAACTGCTGTCCACTAAGTTTGGAAAGCTAATTCTCCTAAGTATTTTTAGGCAGGACTTCAAAGCTTTCTCTGAGTTTAATTTCAAGTAGTGACCTATAAAAGCTTACATATGTTACAATATTCCATCTCTGACTCCCATATTTTTACACTTTTCCCACTTGCCTCAGTAAACCCACAGATCAGCTTACTCATCTGGAAGGATGTACATAATTAATCCAGCTACAAACTTTATGGTCTGCATCATAATCCGCTGCCCAAAGGCAGATGAAACACACACCATTTACGTCAAGCCATTTGTTTGTTGCTATTACATATTCTCAAGACACTACTCCGTCTTCTGTCTCCCCTTGTTAACATTTCCTACCATTAGCTACAGAAAAAGATTCCCATGAAAACAAAAGGCCTTATCAAAATATATGTTACGCTGATAACTGAAGCCTTAAACGTGCTAAATAGAAGCTAAATATACAAAGCATATCTACTAAGAAACAGTGTTAATATCACAGTTGGCAGGCGGGTTAAGTATGTCTGCTGGCAAGAATGCATAAACCAGGTCACTAAGGATACAAAACAGGACACTTACCAGCTTTTTGGTAGAAGTTAGCTGTTTCGTAAGCAAGAGCAGCTATTAGTCCTGGATTGTGTTTCAGCTCAATAGCCCGAGCAATTGTCACTGAAAAAAAAATTGCACACCACAATATTAAAGTTTAATTCAAAATGTCACATCAAATCAGTAGAGGCATTTAGCAATTTAAAATCCCTGCATGAACAGAAAACAAGTATTCTGCAGTCAAGTAAACTGCAGAATAAAGACAGATTGTTTCTTAGATAGAATGATTACAAATTAATAGAAAAGTTGAAGGGGTGGGTTAGTCTGAAGACTAGCTGGTAAACAGAAGTTGCAAATATTTTAAAGTAAAGAAACTGAGAATTTATGCTAAACAACCATGGTGGTGGAGAGACTACATGAAAGGAAAAAAGAGGGAGGAATGTCACACACAGTTCTTCCAAAGTGGTTACGTTTGTAGTATCAGACTGATTTTTGGCATTTTCTTCTTCTAATGGTAACTGAAGTTTCTTTAAAAGCAACCCACCCCACTAAGCCACAGTACTTCTGGAGAAAAAAAATAAAAGGCATTGCTGCCAAATAGACTTTACAAGACATCCAAGTAACCCACGAAAACTGTCATTTCCCATCCCCAACAAATGTATATTTGAAGATACCTTCTTGAGCTTCAGCTTGGCACTGTACGATGTAAGAGTCTATAAGTCGAGCTTCTAAATCTCTTCCTTTTTCTACAGGTGTAATCAGTTTTGGAATGTGACTTTCCTAAGTACAAAGTAAGTCTCAAAGTTATTTTAGGTTTAATACCACTGCTACCAATGCAAAGCAAGTCCCTCATTCCTAAATGGATGGGATGCCAAGTGAAGGTCCCAGGATGGCTGGCTGTACTGTTACATGTGCTGCTGAGCAGACAGACAGACAGACTACCCTTCCACTGCCACAGGCAAACAGTAGCAGGGACTGAATGGCAGCACAACATATTAATACCCTTCTTTTTCCTGTATCACTCAGATAGTCTGAGGAACTTGTTTATTCTGTAACCTTGTCAGAAAAGCAAAGGCTTTTCTAAGACAAAAAGTCAAGTACTTGGAGACAACTTAAAGAACAGACAGCAAAGACAGTTTTTCTACCTTCAAGTGTTTAAATATCCCAGCTGCTATCTTTAGGCTTCTGTGAACATCTTTTGCTTCATCTTCTGTTATACTAAGAATATAGAACAAATCAGTGAAATGTTAGTTAGAAAGGACCTCTAGGTGTCATTTAGTCCCACCTTCTGCTTTAGAGCAGGACTATCTACAACCGATCGGATCACTTATGACTTAGACTAGATGAATCTTTAATCCTTCAAGAATGGAGTCCACTAACTCTCTAAAGTAACCTGTCCCACTGCTGTGCTACCCTTATGGTAAAGAAGTTTCTTACAGTGTCCAATCATGAAATAATCAAATAGAACTCACTTAAAAAAAAAAGGCCAGCCTTGTAGTGACTTTCAAGTAAAAGGTAACCTCAGGGTTAAAGACAAAGCTTTAGAAATATGTAGAGGTAAAAGTCAGTAGAGCTGTGATTTTGAGAATCTCAATTCTGTACCTGGATATTTAGAGCAGGTGAATAGTTTATTCACAACTGACACTTCCTCTGAAGCGCAGTCACATGGTAGTACTTTGTTCACAGATGCAAGAAGGGACTGAAGTGCACTTGGAAATTACAACACATGAAGGAAGGTCAACTGCCTCCTTGAACTCCTACTGTCTCAGCTGAACATGCACTGCAGCAGTCAAAACTCAGAACCTGCTAAATTTTGGGGGGGAATATTGCTGCAATGGAATCACTATGAAAAGAAAAACACTTACTCTTCTTTTCCAGCAAGTCGCGATGCATATTTTGTGTACCACAGAGCTACATTAAATCCCATGGAAACCAGCTCAAACACTGCATCCTGCTGGGCACTAAAGACAGACAAAACCCCCCAAACAAATCCCCAAACAAATTAATGCTTTCCATTTTGTTCTGACAAACTCTCTCTGCTGACAGATCACATAGCATAAGTCAGTATTTCTCTCCATAAAATAATTTTCATTTAAGAAGTCAACAATTTCCAACTCAGAACCTCTTACTTGCTGAACTGCTTAAAAGACACTTCAATTTTTACTTATTCCCATTAAGAGCTCAAAATTATAATTTCCCACATTCAGATGCCTATCCTTCCCTTTTGGGAACTTTTATTTTAAAACAGTAACTTGATATTTGTTTAGTTTTGGGTGTGGCTGGCTTTATTTGGTTTTGTTTTTAAATTGCACATTTTGTAGAAATCCTTGCTCTGGAATGCCTACTTTTAAAGTTGTAGCTCCTAAATTAGTAAGTAAAAGTCTATTACATCTCCCTCAAATGAATGTTATTGCAAGTATTTATGTAACTGCAGTTAAATGGCATATGCAAATAGCGGGAAATTTCAAAAACTAAAAACATGGTCTTTGAAAATAATGAACTTGCAATCACAAGCTCAGTATAGCTTAGGAACTATTAAACTTTAAAAAGAAAGGTGTGGGAGTGGGAAGAATATTGTCAGCACAAGTACAAGTGTGTATGACCATGACAAAATTAGAAGAGAGTCCTAATCAACAGATTGTCTTCCAAGGGGCATAAAAGCTTTGAGGACGTCAAGCAGTTCTTCTAAAGCCTGACAAATTTTTAAGTATACAACACAATTACCTGCAACAGCAAGAGACAACTGAATAATCCTGAAGGTTACAAAGCTATACTCATACTTAAAACAGAATCTTTGTTTGTACATGTCCTAGGAGTTACAGAGAACAAGAACAAAGTCAGATGCAACTCACAAGCAACACTTGCACTTCAAAAAACTCAAGACGATACTGGTCAGGCAATAGCGCCAAATGAAAAAAAAATGTAAACTGTAGTAATCTACGTTATCATATTCAATTTACCAGTACTCTTGAAGTTATTCGTATTGCTCTAGCCAACTGCAGATATAGTTTGCAGATCAATTAAGACACAATGGATCCTTCTACCATCATCATGCATTATCATGCCTTTACATAAAGGCAACACATGCTTCAGAACACCTAATAAAGTACAGTAGTTATCAAAACCACAAAGCAACAAGTTTTTGGAAGCTACTTTGTGTTCGACATTTTGCTGCATTTCTAAATTTTCCTTCAGACCCGTGCTGGCACATGTGCATATACATAACAGACCAGAAGAAAACAGCTGCCTACCCTGTAATCATAAATGCATATGTACCTTGGAACTTGTCCCTGTAATGTGTCTGTCCACTTGAAATTCTGAATATATCTCAATTTGCATTCTTGGGAAGAGTCATCCAGGGAAAGGATAAAGCCTATAGAATAAAAAAAAAATTACAGGCAATCTCAAAGTAAGAAAGAGAAACAAGTAATGAAGGAATGAGGATCAATGAGAATACAGATATAGATAAAGGAATGTTTCTTGCAGTACCACTCAAAAACCTGTGTTAATTCCTGAGGCTTTTATTCCTCAATATCTTGAGAACAAGATGTACAAAAACCCAAACTGGCTACTACAAGAAACTCCTTGCTCAGCAGGTTACCAACTCAACCTTGTGAGTCTTGATTGCTCAAGGAAAACGTTGCAGATGTCTGCATGTCCTATACAGTGACAAGTTGGTAGTTGGACTGACCTAGGTACAGCATGGTTGAGGCTGCTCGAGGTGAGTGACTGTCTGTTGTCCCTGCCAGTCGCTCAAGAAATTCCAGGAAAAGCTGTCTGGTCAACAGGGACAGGGAAAAGGGCTTGTAAGCATGCACTCACCTAGTTATCATCTCTTAAGTGCCCAGGGCTACAGGAAATTGCTTTTTTTATGTCCAGCAGCCCATAAAACAGTGGTCAGTGTGATGAAATAGCTCATGCTATGGGATGTCCAAATCCTAGCATATGCTCACCCAAGGAACTTTTCAGGAAGGACTAAGACTGGCCTTTGTCTGACCAAAACTTACGGACTTCAAGAACCCAAGATTTGCAACAGCAGCTATTGGAGCTATAGCTCTAGATGCTATCACATGTTTATAAAGACAGAAAATACTTGTTCCTTTCATATGAAGAAGATTTTAGTGATCAAGCATAATACCTTCCTGAAGATTCTCCAAATCTTGTCTGCAGCAACATGGACCGTTATCTTACCTTTATCTAGAATGTCACATTAGCTTACACCCTTCCCAAGGAATGAGGGAACTAAACCAACTTGAGCTGCTTTGCTTCCCACAGACGGAAAGATCACTGTTTCCATGAATCAGCTGATTCCTGAAAACTCAGTCCTAAGAAACTTTTCTGAGCACCTGACTGCTAAGAGAGAGTTATCAAAATATTATCAAAATACTGGCAGGAGGAAGGTTTCTAGGAAATGTGTTATCATAGTTGACCATCTACCGAAAATGCAGCTACTATGCTGATGAGCACCTATATACGTACCTAAGACAAGCAGCAGCAAAAGTGCAAACTTGCAACAAGTCTATTATCTAGCATTAGACAAACCAGAAGTTTACATCAAAGAGTGACTCCTGTGACTCCTATCAACTAACAGACTTAATTTATACTTAAGGAGCAATTCACCACAATTTAAGAGACAAATAAACATTTCCTACTCCATCAGGAAGCAGAATGAGGTTAAAAAGCAAGAGGACAAGACTACCAGCACTCAGTACTGACAGGGTCACAAAGGACACTGGAACTTGTAGAAAGGACCTGGTGAGTATCCATGACTGGTATAAAGCACAGAACTCCTGGAAATACTCTCCTTCCTAAGAAATACATACAAAGCTTCTTTAAAGAAGATTAGCACAACATATATTCTAAGAAGTGTCATTAAAATTCAAATTATATATCTCTTGATGTATTAGCAGTATTGCCAATGAATATTCCTACCTTGCAAGAGTGAGAAGTACAAGTCAGTTGCGTTCTTCATCATTTCTGGATTACAACTTGAGTCTGTAAACAGCTCCAAGAGTCGTGTTCGAGCTAACCTCATATCACTGTATGGAGGGAAAAAAAAAAACCAAACAACCCAAAAACCAAACAACTAAGAAATTCTACCAAAAAATGTGCTATTAATAAAGTACCCACCCACACATACCACCACCCTTTTGGCTAAGTGAAGCTAAGCATTCCATTCCATATCCAAAGGCACGGAAAGGCATTTTATGAAGAAGATGCCAATAAATACAGAAAAACATCCCCTTCTCCTCTGGATACATACGATTGACTCCTTAGTTTAACGTACAATCGATTTTGGACAGACAGCAATGGATAATCAGTACTCATTAGCAATCTATTGTTCTAACAGAGACTAAAATAACTCTGCCTTTATCTACCAAGAGTTTGGGTACAGGGGGAGGGTAGGGAAGTAACAAGCAGGAACATTCTTCAGCATTTGAATGGGATGAGCATATGAAGAGATAAGAATAGATCTGCAAATTAAGCTGAGATCTCCTTTCATTATATTCCTATGTACAGTAGAACATTCATGCCTTATTCGCTTATGGAAATTACTTTAAGTAATCTTTTGCAGAAGAATGCACAGTCATCAGAAAGACAATGAAATGTTTAGTCTTTTGCCTCTGCATTATTATAATAGGCCTTACTATACACTCAGAGGCTTGAAAACTGGATAATTCATTCTTTGTAACTAAATGTTCAGTGTTTTCGGTGTTATCAGTGTCTTATTGTCCCACAGCCTACACATTTCTAGTCATCTTCAGAACAAAAATTGAAAAGTAACCATTACTTTTAAGGATGTGCTCCAAACTGTGAGAGACAGAGAGAAGCTAGTCACAAGTACACTTACTTGCAAACCTTCGCAGCAGCTGGAGTGGTAGCTACCCCATAAAAATTAAATGAAACGGGAGCTGTAGCCTTCAAAGGGTTGCGATGAAACCAGTGGGTCATTTTCTTTCTGTTGTGTTGTTTACGCCAAATCTAAAGTGTGGAAAGAAATTAATATCTGCAGGAACAGGTACAACTGAGATGCTACATACGTTGTGCTACTCAGCTCACAAAAATATATTCCACATGTAAACAATTAGGAAAGAAATTAATTTCCAAAGTTGTATGCAATTACACAGAGGAAATTTTTTTCCATTTGAAAACACTAAGCTTCCACACACCATCATCCGCATGCTTAGTTTGAGAATTTCATTCTCTTGAAATACCTATGCTTTCTGAGGCAACTACTTTAAGTTGGGGAGAAAAGGTATAACGTACTTTGCTCTATATTACTGCATACTTTTTTTATTCAAATAACCCCACATTTGTTACCTCCAGCATAAGGCTGAATATTCCCCATGCAATTTACAGGTATATCTCAATTCACTGAGGTCATTATATTGTGTCTGGTCAGTCTATGAGCAGCTTTTATTGTGGCACCATTGATATAGATGAAACTGCAACTACATAGCAACGCCTGCAGAAAACATGATATATTTACATACACATAACAGGCCTGGAAATTTGGGAGAGAATGGCTAAAATAGACCATCTTTCTTCTTTTACCCCAATTTCAGCAAACGTATATAAAACAAGCATTCCAATGAGCTGTCAGCAGCGGTGCACCATAATGGGCACACGTTGAAACAAGGCAGGTCTGTACTGGAGAAACTTCCTCACCGTGAGGACAGTGGAACAGAGGAACAAGTTGTCCAAAGAGCTTGTGTGCTCTCCATGCTCAAGGGCTTTCAAGACCTCACCGGACAAAGCCCTGAGGCACCTGGTCTGACCTCAGAGCTGACCCTGCTCTGAGCAGGCCGTTGGCCTACAGATGCCCCAAGACCTCCATCACTTTATGATCCATTTTGAATCTCCAAGTTCATCGTTATAAAACACTTCGCAGCTTTGCTGAAAAAAAGCAGATCTGCCAGGCAGCGCCCCCCTTGCCACCCTCCAGGTCTTGCTGTGCGAGCAGGTGACTTGTTTATCCTCTCAGCACCTACCTCGACATCTTCACCCACCTGCGCCGCGGTCTGCTCAGCGGAGACGTGCTGTCACACGGCTCAGCCGCACCCAAGGCAGTTCGACAGGCGCTTCACAAAGGGATCTTCCCTATCCGAACCCCCTTTACTCCCCGCGCCCGGCAGAGCGCTGGGCAGTTTGCCCGGCGGGGGCCTGCCCGGTGCCGATCGCCTCAGGCCCGCGCTGCCGCCTCGCCGAAGCCCGCCGCGGGTCCAGCGGCCCACACCGCCCGCCGCCCGCCCTGGCGTTCGGCCCTTTTCACTGCGGCGCCGCCCGGCTCCTCGAGCCCCGCTGATACCAGCGAGGCGGGAGCCGGCC